CAGAATTTAATGAAAACAGATTTGGGTGTTGCTTTATATAAAACCATTTGTTGATCCCTATGGCTTCTTTAGTTATAGAAAGCCTATGATTTTAGAATGAACTTTCTGAATGGAAAGCAAATACCTGGGTGACCACATATTTCAAACCAGAGGGACTTTTAAGAATGTGGTGTGAACCAGTTGCCTTGATAAGAACATATATGTACAGAAAAGAGAGTCAGCACAGCAGGCCTTTGCAAGTCGCCCTTGCTTGGCCTCTGAACTTAGATTAAGGAAGGGTTCCCTCAGTTCCTTAACTCATTAGAAGTGTGGTTCTCAGAGCCTTCAAACTGTTGGTACAACATGGGTTGTGCTGAACACCTTAAATTCTTCAAAGTCTGAATTTTTGGTACATGTTAGGCAGAAGGTCCCTACATGACCATCCCTGAATAAAACACCTTGGGCACCAAGTCACTTCTTAATTTTTTGACATTTTACTACTATCTATGCCCTTGCATTATTAATGTCTATGGTGTCTGTATGGCAGAAGTATTGTATAATTCTGTGCTACTGTTCATTTCTTCTCAACTCTGTATTCAAAATTAGGCACAATGGGAATATTTACACAATGGAATTGGCAAACAGAACTTGTTTTGTTTATTATCTAGACTACAGAAAGTAATGAAGAATATGTTCATGCGGCAGATTATTTAAAATTGTATCATGTCTATAGCCATTGCATTGTAAAAAGCACAATTGAGGAAATATCCCTCCAGAATTTGAAAGCTAACATCCAATTTAGTAATGAAGGAGTCATGTCATTGATAAGAGTCCTGACACGGCTGGGGGTATAGCTCAGTAGGAAAGACCTTGCCTAACATACTTAAGGGCATGGGTTTCATCCCCAGCAGCCACTAAACAAACAAACAAAAAATAGTTTTTATATATGTCTTCATTGTTTCATTTTCATCTTATCTACTTTTTCCAGAGACACAACAGATTTATTTAGGAAAGAAAATACACGTTCAAGGGAGAACTCAGGCTATCTCAAGGGAGAGAAGTCTTCTTGGGTAAAGTGTGAAATACATATTTGAGGAAGATCACCAACCATCTTGAGAGTGAGAAGATTTGGGATAAAGCAAGGAATGCATATTCTCACGGAAGAACATGGGCCATTCCCAGAGGGAGACAGCCTCATCTTACCCATTAATGTAAGTACAAGTGTCAACCAACATTTTTGTTAGAACTACACTTAATTATCAATTGCAACCACAGTTGACTACAGATAAGTTTGGCAAAAATCTTTGAAACGTTCTTTGAGAATTAATTTACTATTTTGAAATTATAATCAAGTATTATATACCTATTATTTTTTACAATTATGTGCAATACAATCATTATATCATTAAAATTCATAATGGACATATACACATGTGCAAACTTTTTTTTTTTTCCAGAGAGCTGATTGTTCAATATTTAATAGCATGTTGCTGGTGGAGACCCTGCATGATATGATGTGTTAGTAAAATGCTGTATGTTTTTCTTTTTAGATATGATCTGGATAGTGCTATAAGAGTTAATGCTTCTCTTGAGATTTATGCCTGTGTGTTTGACTCAATGGTGATCCTATTGGATGAGCAAGAATGATCTTTATTCTGCTTTACTCTTCACCTTACACAATTTTGGAAAAATCAAGTCCACTCTGGACTCTTCTGCAGAAGCCACCCTCTAACTCCCCCCAACTATAATATTAATGAATCTACATTAATATTAGGCAAAGTTACCACTAGGGATTAATGCACTGGCAGGATTGAGAGGTGTTGGAGACTAGCCTTACAGAGGTTTGAAGAAGATAAAGCTTCTGGAGAAGACTTGTGCCTAGGGGGAAGGCATTGTGTGACTGACTCCCTCAGAGGGCAGAGCTCCTAGGAGTGCTTCTTCCTTGGCCTATGGCCATATCCTATTTTGGAGGAACAGAGCAAGGAGGTTGAGGAGCACAGTGAGGTGGAGGGGTGGGCATGAGGTGCTCACAAGTCACCAACTCAGGTCAGACAGAAAAACAGTCCCTTTCCTCCATTTACATATGCTTTCCCTCCAGTGCTCTCCATTTGTAGAGAAACTAAAAGGAGGATTTAGGTGAAGTAGGTAAAGGGAGCTTCAATCCCCAAATGCAGACATGAGTTATACTAATATAATCTGTGAAGTGGAAAGACAACCCAGGAACAGTGATGTGACATGGCTGCTCTAGGTGTTAGAATGCCCTCTTTCCCCAGGCCATAAGGGGACACTTGCTTCTAGGAAGGAAGTTTCAGGAGGCAGCCACCAAAGGAGACGGAGAACTGAGAGAGAATTAACACACTTCAGGAAGGTTCAAGTGAACAGGATGAAAATATCTTAGAAGATAAAATACTGCAGGGCCTAATGATGCTCAATAGTTTGTTCCTTCTAGAATTTTCTTTCCATGGTTTCAAGACTTGCCACCCTGATCCTGATGGCTCCTTCCCTGTTCACCCAGAAGCAATAAGCAGACCTCAAGTGGCAAGACACATTGCTGATAAATAAATCCTTGAAAGATCCAGAAATGGCCAGCTAAAATTTCTACTATAAATAAGGGTTTTTCCTCTATGCCTCATAAAGTGATGAGGTAAGACACTGCCTAGTTCCATAATCCTAAACTTGGTTGTGGTTTGGAGTGAGACAGAGATGACAGATACCCTGGGAGAGAGTCACCATTGTATGGCTGTGGGTTATGACCCACTCTGCTGGGTCCTCCTCATTTGCACCTGCCAGATCCAGAGTGGTTTGGATCTGATGAAGAGAACGCCATCTGCAGGTAGAAAGCAGAAAGCAGTAGAAAACTATCAGGAAACTGCAAAGCATTATTATAAATCAGGAATAAAAAATCCAGGAAATTCTTTGGCACGTCTCTGGTTCTCTTTGTTCTGAGATTTGGCCTCATTGTGATTAGAAGACAATATGCAAGGTCCAGGCCTGTGAGGGAGAGCAGCTTTGATTTTGGCAGGCTCTCAGAGACCTCACCCCCTGCTTCACTGAGAAACAGAACCTGTTAGCTGTTGCACTCTGGTTCCACCTTGTTGCTGGTGCCCTGGGGAAAGACTTCTGCTGCTAATTCTGATGCTATCAGAAAGCCCTCTCACTTTCTCCCACTGCCAGTATCCTCAGCCTTTCCTTCTTCTCACCACATTTATTTACTCATGCCTAAACCTTTTCTATTTTAAAAATATTTATAACCGGGGCTGGGGATGTGGCTCAAGCGGTAGAGCGCTCGCCTGGCATGCGTGCGGCCCAGGTTCGATCCTCAGCACCACATACCAACAAAGATGTTGTGTCCGCCAAGAACTAAAAAATAAATATTAAAAAAAAAATCTCTAAAAAAAAAAAAGATGTTGTGTCTGCCGAAAACTGAAAAATAAGTATTAAAAAAATTCTCTCTCTCTCTTTAAATAAATAAATAAATAAAAATATTTAAAACCAGGGAACAAAATAACAATTCCCTGATCCCCCAGGAACAGTGATGTGACATGGCTGCTCTAGGTGTTAGAATACCCCCTTCCCCCAGGCCATGAGGGGACCAGTGGCTGGTTGCTGCCTAACTCCTTCTCCTTCACAGGTGCACTTCTGGAAATCGCTGCTCCCTCTTCCTTCCCTTCCCGCCACTTTCCTCTGTCTCTTCTCCCCAGGAGACATGGTTGCTAGGTCCCCAACAGGTCAACAGACACTGCTGGGATTTGATGAATCATCAGCACTGGAATGATGGTGCCTCCCTCTGGAGATCATTTTTTAATATTTATTTATTTTCTTTTTTCAGTTGTAGTTGGACACAATACCTTTACTTTATTTTTATGTGGTGCTGAGGATCAAATCCAGGGCCTCACACTGCCAGATGAGTACTCTACCATTGAGCCACAACCCCAACCCCAAGATCACTCTTTTTGTCATGAGTGAAGGATATACACATTCCCAGCCCCTCTCCCACCGTCCCATAGTCTGTCCATGTAGTGGATTTAACTATTGTTCAGTCACTTGCTGGGGTCTTCTATGGATGCCCCTGAAATCATCTTTGAGATTTGCCTTCTCTCTGCACTTACATCCTCCAGCTGCTCCTGCCTGAAGTCTCTTTTTAGAACCTTACCTGTTCTCTGTCCTCCCCTGCCAGCACCCCACTGCCCCCACCCAACAGTTCAGAAGCCCTTTCACTGGTCTCCCTGCCTCTTCTCTAGCCACCACACCTCAGAGTGATTCTGCCTGTGTAAACCACACAACAGAAACCCTGTCCCCTTCTTAACCCTCTAAGATTATTCCTTGATCATTCATAGGCCTCAGGTGACATGTCACCTCCCCATAAACCCTCCCTGATTCTCCCCACTTGGACTTGGAGCCCCTTCTCATTTGTTTCAGGAGCACCTGTGTGTTCCTTTCCAGAGAGCTCATTCCATTGTGTCATAACTCCAGTGCCCCCCAAAGTTGCCTGAGTTTAGTTAAGGCAGGGATGTTGAATCTGTCCCTAGCCCAAGTCATCTAGTAAATATGTTCCACAAAAATGGGGGGGGGGGTCTATCATTTCTCCCATGTTTCTAGATGCATAATATTAACAGAGCAGGAAACAACTCAAAAGAAGGAAAGTAAGGTCAAGGGTTAAGTTCTGATAAGTACATTGATCCTTGAAAGTAGTCCCAAAATGGACAGCAAATGTCCAGAGAGGATCACAATTTGTGAGCCATTTTATTCTTCTGTAAAATGTCGGCCTGTGGCAGAAATGAAACTCTCATTGTGTTGGTTCAAGGTCCAGTGACCCAGGGCTACTGATAGCAGCCCTGGTTTGCAAGAGTGGCAGGCTGTGCCAGAGCGCTGAGGACCGCTAYGCACAGGTGGATCGAGGCCGGACGCCTGCAGGGGAAACTGCAGCCCCAAAGGGTTAATTGTCTTTGCAGCGGGCCAGAGAAGAATGCGGGGGGCGGGGGCTGTGGTGTGGGGGTAACGACTGCAATCCAAGGGCAGCTCTTTTGAAGATTGAAACTTAGAGCCGGGAGGGGTTTTCCAGGAAACGAAAGCGAAAGAAGCGAAGTTCACTTCCCAGAGTCGGGGCGGCCCCGGCAGTACCGGAGAACGAGCGGAGCCGGGATGGCTGCGTCCCGCTCCTTCCCGCTGCTGGTGGAGGGGTCCTGGGGCCCCGATCCCCCGAAGAACCTGAGCACCAAGTTGCAGATGTACTTCCAGAGTCGGAAGAGATCGGGCGGCGGGGAGTGCGAGGTCCACCAGGAGCCCGGGAGCCCGCCCCGCTTCCTGGTGCTCTTCTTCCCGGAGGACGGTGAGGGGCACAAAGGGGCTGCGTGCGGAGGGAGCCCCCCCACCCCACCCCGGCTTGCTCTGCAGGGGAAACTAGAGGCAGAGGCAGGCGGGGGAGTATCCGCCGGGCTCTTGCAGTAGGGTATGGGTGGTGGCCGGGACCGCGGAATGGCCTCGTAGTGCCCCGGGGGCGCTGCGGTTCCTCTGCGCGCTGCGCTTCCAGGCGCTTGCTGGAGAGGTCTGGAGGTGACCATGGAACTGTGCAAACGAGTCTCTATCTCCTTTTCCAACCCTTTCTATCCTTCCCTGTTGTTATTTAGGTGGAAAAGGAAAAAGGATTAAGAAACGCGAAGAGTCACAGGGATTCTTCATGGGTCATGGAGATTCCCAGCTGGAATTTGGGGGGGGGGTCACTTGGGAGAGCGGCAGTGTTGCTGCCTAAAGTCACAAGGTCAGGGTGTAAATACGTAGGTGACCTTCCCTTAGGTTGGTATGTTGGAGGGGAAGGCAACAGTGCTGTTGATGAACACACCACGTACCTCTGTGGAGGGCCTATTGTTGCCTCTTCCTTCCGTTTTGGGATTGTCCTGAGATTGGGAGGGTGGATGACGTTCTGAGGTGATTGTGGTTTGGATTTTGGAGCTTTGGGAGAAAGTTCCTTCTTCAGGCCTATTGGCTGAGTTCTCCCCAACTCCCCACCCTTGTTCCTATATGGGAAGGGAGGCCAAGAGCCCCAGATCTGGGTTTGCTCAAGGTGGCTGTCATGGGAAACTTAAGCGCACCTTTTCTACTGGGATCTTAGAGACTGACAGTGACCTCTCAGGATGTAGACCATCCTTGATCCTGCTTTCTTGTGCTGAATTTGGAGAAGCATTTGGGCCAGAGCAGAGGCAAGGAGGCTTAGGAGGCCATGCAATTGGACTGATGGGATGTCCCAGCAGGGGTTCAAAAAGTAAAGAAATGGAACAGAAGGGGAAGGAAGTGAGGGTGGAAGAGGACAGGAGATCTGCTTGGCTCAGACGCTTCATGGAAAACAAAGTTCTGTGTCTKCGAGGGTTAATTTGACCAGGGAGTGTTCAGAAGGGCAGCAATGGAGCCCTTTCCCTTTCCGTTCCCTTTCCCTAGAGGGTTTCCCTATTTTTGATTCCTACTGTCAACATCACCACTTCAGAGTTCTTTCTTCTTTAGCAACCTCTATCCTCAGGAGTAGCTCTCAGATTGGGGGGCCCAGACCACCTGCATCTCAACCTCCCTGCTAGGTGTCCATCCTCCACCGAACCTAGTTCACACTGCCCCTCTGTCTCTACCACAGGCTTCTCTAGTGGCTCCTGGGGTCTTACCCCAGTCAGATGACTCAAAAACTGTTTATAGTCTACATTGCCCGGGGTGGAAAATCCCTCTTCAGTTTCAGTTTCCATCTTGAAGCTCCGCTTTCCCGGTATCAGGTCATCAGGAATGTGCTGAGAATGAATGGCCTATGCCCTCACAGAGGTTTCCCTCACCTTCCCCTCTCCACACTCCACCCTCTACCCTCTACACAAGAAAAGACTTCAGCAAGCACAGTCGACAGTGTGAGATGACTTTATTCACATAATTCTGTAAAACCAAATAGTATGAGTGAGCCTACCAGCAGTTTCCTGTAGAAATGAGTGAATAGCAAATAAGAATGAATAGGAAACTGTATCTTGCTTTTATATAGTTAACCGAATTTCTGAAAAGTTAGTATAAATTGATTTATAATCTTTTTTTTTTTTCTGTGCAAGAGATCAAACCCAGGGAACTGTGCATGTTAGACGAATATTCTATCATTGAGTTATACCCCCAGTCCCTGACTTAAAACATTCTAAACATGATTTCAGGCGTGTACTTTTGTGTGTGTGTGGATGGGGTGGGGGGGGATTGAATCCAGGGGTGCTCTACCACTGAGCCACACCAAAGCCCTTTTTAAAAAATATTTTACTAGTTATTGAGGAACCTTTATTTATTTATTTGTTTATATATGGTGCTGAGAATCGAACCCAGTGCCTCACACATGCTAGGCAAGAGCTCTACCACTGAGCCACAAACCCAGCCCAAGCCCTTTTAATTTTATTTTGAGACGGGGTCTTGCTAAGTTTCCCAGGCTGACCTCAAACTTGCTATCCTCCTGCCTCAGCTGGTATTACAGGTGTATGCCATCACATCCAGTTAATKATAAAATGTGGACATTTTATCATACTTTGTGGTCATAATTTGACTCCTGATTATTCAGATACCTTGGGATAAGAGAGCTCATCTTCTTAAATAAAATTACACATAAGTGACTTGAGGTTGGTGCAGGAGGAAGACTGTCCACATGGGTAACGGAGTCTGGACATGAGAGTGTCTGCTCTTTTTCCTCCCAGTTCCCCCTGTCCTTGTTGGGGATCACATACTGGTGTGACCACTATTGCTTTCCTGAAATCCTTCATACATATTGCACACAATCTGAGAAGAGGCTGGCACAGGAGATGCCTGAACAGGATTTCCTTAACATCTAGGAAGTAGAAATAGTAATGCCACACAGAGTGCATGATGCTAGATAACAGCCTGGTCTTGGGCTTCAGGGGTCACATCCAGTCCTCAGTCCTCACTCCAGCTTAGTCCAACCCTTTAGGGGTCCCTGTGAAGAGTGGAGTTGGAGTCTGGTGTTTCTTCCCAGGTTTTTGGAGGCCTATTTCTGAGTGGACATCCAGGTGAGGCCCTACTTGGCCCACYCCCTTCATGGCTGTTTGGAGTGGGAAAGCCATCGAGCTCCTCTTTATGAAATATTCTGACCCCATCAGGCCAACCACATTAGAGCAGGGCATGGCCACCCAGCATTCGTGCCAGAGCTGCAGCCCTGAACTGTAAGGTCCTTTTCTTCCTGACCTCTTTGCACCCTCTGCCAATGTTGACCATGCTTCCTTCTTTAAACTCACTCCTTCCCTGTTCTCTGTGGTAGGAGACACTGATTTTCCTAAGTTTCCTATCATCTCTCTCTGGATGCTCCTGGTAAATACAACTCACATAAGCATATCTCTCTCTCTCTCAATATTTTTTAGTTGTAGATAGACACAGTGCCTTTATTTATTTATCTTTATGTGGTGTGGAGGATCGAACCCAGTGCCTCATACATGTTAGGGGAGTGCTCTGCTACTCAGCCCCAGCCCCAGCCCAAGCATAGCTCTTAAGAGAGTTTCAGAAAATATTCGGAGRCAACACTCTTAAGTGGGTAAAGCTGCAGAGAAGGTATTTCCTTCCAGTCACTCAGCTAGTTCATAGCAGGGCTGGGAGTCTAACCCAGGCCTTTGGACTTTATGTCCACTGTTCAGTTTGTTTGCTGTAGCCATCTGTCTGAGGTGCTACTTCTTTTTGTTTGTTTTTGAAAAATCTCTCCCATTTCTTCTTCTCCTCTTCCTCCTCTTTCTTTGTGGTATTTATTGGGGGTGGGACCCAGGGTCTCATACATTCTAGACAAGCACTGTACCACTGAATTATACTCCCAGCCCTTTTTATTTCCTTTTATTTATGTATTTTTTTTTTATAAGGTGCTGAGGATCAAATGCAGTATCTCACACCTGTGGGGCGAGTGCTCTACCACTGAGCCACAACCCCAGGCCCCTTTTTATTTTGAGACAGAATCTCACTAATTTGCCCAGGCTGGCCTTGAACTTGTGCCTCAGCCTTCCAAATAGCTGGGATTAGAGGTGTGTGTGACTGTGCCCGGCTCTCCTATCCCTTTTTGTCTACTCCCTTTACTATCAGATGTAAGACCCTTATCATTACCCGCTAAGGAATTGGTCAAAATGGCTTTCTAACTGGGCTCCTGGTCATTCTCCTCATGCCACCTGAGTCACCTTCTAAAAATGGAACTTTCATCATGTCATGTTCCAGCACTCAGTCTGCCCTGGCTCTCCATGTGGAATCTTTTAATTAGCTCATTCCTGTGTAGAATGAATGTTGCTACCTTTTTGAGTGCCTACTGGGTGTAAGGTACTCATATTAAGTTCTTTATAATTTTTCTTCCTTTTAATCCACACAACACTGGTACAAAATAGTCTTTATTAACCTCATTTGTAAGAAGAAAGGCTTTGTAAGTAAGCCTTTTAAAAAACATGCTAAATATGTAGTCAGCTTTTCATTACTGTGACAAAATACCGGGGGTAATCAATTTAAAAAGAGGAAGGTTTATTCTGACTCATAATTTTGCAAGTCTTAGTTCATGGTTAGTTGGCCTGTTGCTTTTGGGCCATGGTAAGGCTATACATCATGGTTAGAGTGCCTGGCAGAGGAAGCCCTTACCTCATGGCTGAAAGTGAAAAAAAAAGAGAGAGAGGAAGGGGTTGGGGTATGTGTGTCTCAATATCCCCTTCAAGGGAATGACCTCAGTGATCAAACTTCCTCGCAACAGTCCTTACTTCTWTTTAAATTTTTATTTATTTATTTAGTTTTAACTTTTAGTTTTTTTTTTTAATTAGTGGCTAGTGGATATATATAGTGATGGATTCAGTATGTTTTTTTCTATATGTACATAGGAAAGTTAGGTCAGATTCATTCCACTGTTTCCCCTTATTCTGTTCTTCCTCCTTAYCCCTCAATCCTTTTCCTCTATTCCACTGATCTATTTTGATGGAATTTCTGCCCCTCTTTTTCCTTTCCATCCCTTTCTTTCTCCCCCCCTTCTCTCTTTTCCCCCCTCTCTTCCCCCCTCTCCCCTCCTTTATTTTGTACTTGCTTCTGAATATCAGAGAAAACATTTGACCTTTAACTTTTTTGGGTCTGGCTTATTTCACTTAGCCTTATAGTCTCCATTTCCATCCATTTACCAGAAAATGCCATAATTTCATTCTTCTTTATGACTTGAGTAATACTCCATTTTGTATATATACACCACATTTTCTTTACTTATCCATGTGTCTGGTTGAAGGGCATCTAGGTTGATTATTGTGAATTGTGCTGCTATAAATATTGATGTGGCTTTTTGCCTGTAGTATGCTGATTTTAGATGTTTGGGATCAACATACCCAGAAGTGGGAAAAACAGTGTCATATGGTGGTTCCATTCCTAGTTTTTTGAGAAATCTCCATACTGCTTTCCAGAGTGATTGCACTAACTTGCAGTTCCACCAACAATGTATGAATATACCTTTTCTCCCACATCCTCACCAACACGTATTATTATTTGTATTCTTAATAAATGCCACGCTGACTGAAATGAGATGAAATCTCAGTGTAGTTTTTAGTTTTAAATGTTTTTAGTTGTAGATGGACGCAATACGTTTCTTTATTTTTATGTGGTGCTGCGGATGAAGCCCAGTGCCTTCCATGTGCTAGGCAAGTGTTCTACCACTCCTGAGCTACAATCCTAGCCCCTCAATGTAGTTTTTTTTTTTTTTAAATTTATATATGACAGTGGAGTGCATTACAATTCTTATTATACATATAGAACACAATTTTTCATATCTCTGGTTGTTTATAAAGTATATTCATACCAATTTGTGTCTTTATACATCATCACATTCTACCATCATTAATAACCCCATGCCCCCTCCCTTCCCCTCCAACCCCTCTGCCCTATCTAGAGTTCTTCTATTCCTCCCATGCTCCCTCTCCTTACTAGGGATTGAAGCTGGGGTTCTTAACTACTGAGCCACATCCCCAGCCTTTTTTTGTGTGTTTTGTTTAGAGACAGGTTCTCGCTAAGTTGCTAAGGCAGGCTTTGATCTTCCTGCCTCAGCCTCCTGAGCTGCTGAGATTATAGGTGTGCACCACCACGCCGGGCCCTCAATGTAGTTTTGATTTGCATTTCCCCAATTGCTAGAAATGTTAAACATTTTTTTCATGTATTTGTTGACCATTTGTGTTTCCTCTTTTGAGAAGTATCTGTTTAGCTCTTTTGCCCAATTAATAATTGGATTGTTTGGTTTTTTTTTTTTTTTTTTAATTTGGTGGTGTTTTGAGTTCTTTTATATTCCAGATATTAATACCCTATCTGAAGAGCATGTGGCAAAGATTTTCTCCCATTCTCTAGGCTCTCTCTTCATGTCTTAATTGTTTCCTTTGCTGTGTAGACACTTATTAATTTGATGGCATCCCACTTAATGATTCTTGGTTTTATTTCTTACACTTTGGGAGTCTTATTAAGGAAGTCAGTTCCTGTACCGACATGTTGGGCCTACATTTTTTTTTTCTAGCAGTTGCATAGTTTCTGGTCTTATTCTTAGGCCTTTGATTCTCTTTGAGTTGACTTGTGTGTGAGATAGGGATCTAGTTTCATACACACACACACACACACACACACACACGTATATTTTAGTTGTTGATGAACCTTTATTTATATGCAATACTGAGAATCGAACCTAGTGTCTCACACCTGCYAGGCAAGCACTCTCCACTGAGCCACAATCCCAGCCCGTAGTTTCATTCTTCTGCATATGGATTTCCAGTTTCCCAGCACCATTTGTTAATTAGGCCATCTTTTCTCCAACATGTTTTTGGATCCTTTTGTCTAGATAAGTGTATTTATGTGGGTTTATATCTTTGTATTCTATTCAATTTTATTGCTTTTCATGTCTATCAGTACCATGCTGTTTTTGTTACTGTAGCTCTGAGTATAATTTGAGGTCCAGTATTAGGATGCCTCCAGAATCACTCTTTTTGTTCAGGATTACTTTGGCTCTTCTGGGTCTCTTGTTTTTCCAAATGAATTTTAGAACTCCTTTTCCTAGTTCTGTGAAKAATACCATTGGCATTTTGATGGGTAGTGCATTGAATCTGTATAACATTTTTGGTAGTATGTCCATTTTAACAATATTCATCTGCCCATCCAAGAACATGGAAGAGCTTTCCATCTTCTGAGGTTTTCTTCAGATTCTTTCTTCAGTGTTCTATAGTTTTCATTGTAGAGGTCTTTCATTTCCTTCATTAGATTAATTCCTAAATATTCTATRTATTTTTAAGGTTATTGTGAAGGGGATTGCTTTATTTCTTTTTCAGTAGATTCATTATTGTAGTATAGAAAAGCAATTGATTTATGTATGTTGATTTTGTATCTTGGTACTTCAGTAAATTTGTTAATCAGTTCTAGAAGTCTTCTGATGGAGTTTTTTTGGGTCTTCTAGACACAGGATCATGTCAGCAAACAGAGATAATTTGAGCTGTTTTCCTATGTGTAGCCCTTTAATTTCCTTCTCTTGCCTGATTGTTCCGACTAGAATTCCAGGGCCTATGTTGAATAGGGGTGGTGCGAGTGGGCATTTGTCTTGTTCCTGGGTTTAGAGGAAATGCTTTCAGTTTTTCTCCATTTAGTGTGACRTTAGTTCTACCACTTCCTGTTAACATCATGGGCTGGCAACTAAGCCTTTAATACATGGGCTCTTGGGAGACCCTCAGAGCCAAACCATAGCACTAAATATTAAACAGTGTGTTTAAAGATGAAATTCTAATCCACATCTGCTTGCTCAACTTTTGTTCTTTTTTACTATACATAGTCTCTCTTGAGAAACTGGCAAAGCTATTGATGGATGATGGAGCTCATAGAGATGATGGTATAATTATGTAAATAAAGATTGCTTTTTTTTTTTTTTTTTGGATGCTTTAGTTCGGCAAGCTGTTCTGGAGAAAAAGGATCATGAGTTAGTATTGCCAGGAAAAGGAACATTCAAGTTAACTGTCCGGTTACCCACAGCCTCAGAGGAAGCCCCAGTCTCTGAGAGGAAAATTTCAACCAAGGTAAGTAAACCTGAGAAGTTGTTCAAAGGGATCTGGGGTGGGGGGGTCCTCCCAAGTATGTGGGATGGGAATCTCAATGAAGAAAATACAGTGGAATGAGAAGTGTCAACCAAACTGGAGTGAGAACAGCTCATAAATGCAGAGAAGGTGAGGGTGGTGATAACATGGTATAAAACAATGAAGGATGAAGCACTTCGTTGATTTTAGACACTTTTGGAAAATTAAGATTCAGTGGTTATCCTAATATCAGTTTCAGATATAAAATTTTAGATTGTTTTGTCTTGGCTTCTTTTTGACTGGAAACTTGCTAATTTTTTAAAACAACATTTTGAGGGTTGAGATGAGTTCTATAAAGATGAGTTCTATGACTATGTGTAGTAAAAAGAATAAAAGTTGAGCAAGCARATGTGKATTAGAATTTCATCTTTAAACATACTGTTTAATATTTAGTGCTACAGTTGGATCTGAGTGTCTCCCAAACATCATACTACAGATGCTGTGTCCTCAGTTGTCAAATAGATTGTCAGATTATTGGGAGGCTTGAGATGAGTTCAATGAAGCACACGGCACAGTGCTTGTTATATAGTAAACATTCAATAAATGCTAAATGGTGAAAAGCAATTATGAGCTAAGCTGTTTCCCTGATTTAGGTCTTACCCCATATCCCAACTCCATATCCCAAATACTGTGTGAATTGAGTATTCTGCTATTTTTACCTTTTTTTTCCCCCCAATAATTACTGTGTCTAGTAGGGGATCTGCTGACATGTGGCACCAGATGCATTCAAGAGCACCACTAACAGAGCTTTTTGTTATCATTTCTGTTTACCATTCATCTCCAAGATGCTTCCATGGATATTTTTTAATTTTTAGTTGTAGATGGATACAATGCCTGTATTTTGTTTATTTAGTTTTATGTGGTGCTAGAGATCGAACCCAGTGCCTCATGCGTACTAGGCATATGCTCTACCTTTAAGCCACAACCCCAGCCCAGACATTTATTTTTATTTATTTATTTGTTTTACAGTGCTGGGATCAAATAAAGGAGCCTCACACATGCTAGGCAAGCACCAAACTACATTGCTAGCCTTTTCATTTTGTTCCCTCAAACAGGGTCTCTCTAAGTGGCCTGGGCTGGTCTCCAACTTGTGATCCTCCTGCTTAGCCTTCTGAATGTCTGGGATTACACAAGGGCACCACTGCATGCAATGACATTTTCTTTCTTTCTTTCTTTTTTTTTAAATTTATCTTTTTCTAATTGTTTAGTTGTAGACAGACACAATACCTTTGTTTTATTTATTTATTTTTATGTTCCTCACATGTGCCAGGCAAGCACTCTACCACTGAGCCACAACCCCAGCCCCCTCTCCATGACATTTTCCTAATGTAAAGAAATTATTAGTGATACATTAATGCTACTTTATTGTTTGGGTTTCAGGAATCCAAGAGCAAAGAAGATGTCAAAGAACCAGGTAAAGTCTCAATTGATGTAATTCTGACATTCACCAAGAAGTTTTGCTTTTATTAAGTAAGGAAAGCATTTAGGAGATGTTCCTTCCTCCTCTTCCTCCCTCCTCCTCCTCCTTCCTTCTCCCTCCTCCTTTTCCTCCTCCTCTTCATTCTTTGCATTATAGTTACACATAGTTGTTGGGTTCATTTTGACAAAACCATACATGCATTGGATTTGATTTACTCCATTTCAGTCTCCAGTGCCCCTCCTTTCTCTCTCCTCCTGCCTCTCCATATTCTCTTTCCTCTGTTCTACTGAGCTTCCTTTCTCTGGTTTATTTATTTACTTTTGATTGACACTTTATATATAAACATACTGATAGAATTCACTGTGGTATATTTATATAAGCACATTGTGTGGWTTTGTTCAATTCATTCTGTCCACATTTCCTCTGCATCCCTGTCCCGTCTCCCTTCCTTTCCAACTCCTTCTATTTACAGATCTTCCCTATATTTTTATGATATCTGACCCCACCCCCTTTTTCTCCCTATTTGTTCTAGCTTCCATATATGAGAGAAAACACTTGACCCTTTCTTTTCTGAGTCTGGTTTATTTCACTTAGCATGATAGTCTTCATTTCCATCAAATAATTCCATTCAAATGACATGATTTCATTCTTTTTTATTTTATCTCTTCTTTAAGGCTGAGTAAAACTCTATTGTGTGTGTGTGTATATATATATATTTTTTTCTTAATCCATTCATCTATTATTACAGGGGTGCTTTCCCACTGAGCCACAACCACAGCCATTTTTAAATTGTTTTAGTTTGAGGCTGGCCTCAAACTTGAGATTCTTCTGCCTCAGTCTCCTGAGTGGCTGGGATTACAGGCATGTACCACTGAGCCTGGCTCAAGTGTGCTTTTGATAAGAAGCTCAAGACTCTTATGAGATAGAAATCTTGTGTGTGTTCAGATTAATTCCTGCTTTCCATCCTTCTGATCTGGAGTCGACTCATCAGCTTCTGATGTTTATTATTCTGACCTCTTAAACCCTTATCATTTTCTTGGAAAATGCCTTAAGTGTCTGATTCTCAAGCTCAACTTTAGACCAGGGAGTGGCTTTTTATTTATGTATTTATACTCATACTATAGTCCTGGATCTAAAGTTTAATCAAGTTTTTGTTTCTTGTTTCATATATCTTACCTTCCCTCTGTCTTAACTGATTGGTTAGTGCTGTTTCAAATTTGCCTAAAATCCTAAGTGTATCCTCAGGAAGAGCCATCCAGCCTCTCTCCACCAATGGACTTTTTATTGTCCTGGAAATGTTGCAACCATTTTCTAACCTGTTTTTACCTGACTCAGACTCTAAGGGGAGTTACCAGCTAGGGAGTCAGGCGGTCTTCATCAAATCTTTTAATGGCTCTTGTGAGACATGAAGAATCCTGAGTTGAATGGTTGGTCCACACTGAATTCTGATGACGGCCAAAAGGCTAGGACTCTTGAAATGGATTGGAATGGGGTAGATGGTTTCAGAGCTGAGTGAAACGTGGATGGAGAGTGGTCATCTAACAGATCCAAAATCTCAGGGAGAGGTTAATCTAACAGATCTAAAATCTCAGAGGACGCTGCCTCACGGATGCATTACATGCCTGAAAGTCAATGCAGAAAGTTGAAAACCAACTTTGTGGTTTTTAACCCGCTGAGGAGCTGACAGCTCAGGGAAAGTCACATAGCAGAACCATGGGATGTGAATATTGAGCCAGTGTTCAGATCCAGCTGGGCTGGGCCTGAAAGGGGGAAATCGGCAACTGGAAGATCCTGGAGAAGAGACAAGAACAGAGAAATACTGGTTACCTGTGGTTGACAAATTCTGGGACTTCCAAGTCCGCATCTCAGTTATGGGTCCCTTCTAAGCTTCAGACCTTCTGTCCGACCTTCCTTCTGGGAAGTCAGACCCAGCGTGTCTGAAGCCACCTATGTCTGCTTCCTCCCAAACCAATATCCTTTCCGACTTCCTTATTTTTCTTAAAATATATAGTTTGCTCCTCAACAACTAGAAACTTCAGACATCTTCTCTTTGACCTTCCACATCTCTTGTTCAGAGAGACCTATTATTGAAGATTCTTCCTCAGTCATCTTCTCACCACAGGCCCATCTTATTACCTCACAAATCCAACATGGCAGGAGCTGGCAGCTGTGTCCCTCTGTTTCTGACACCCTGTTTCCTGATAGCTGAAACAGTCCCCTGTACTATTTCTAAATATCTTCTTGTCCTTTTCACAGAAACCTTCCATGATTCACTTTTATCATCCACTGCAAGGTCAAGTCCAGACCACATTCTGGATCTAGACCACCTCTCTGGTCTTGTTTCTCACATCTTTTGAAAATGCTCCTTTTGGAGCCACACAGGTCCTTTGGCCATTCCAACCATTTTCTGAATGGCCTCAGGCAATCCCAGGACTCTGCTGGTGCTCCTGTTGCTCTCGGCACCCTCTGCCTGACTTTCTGTATCTGATTCTCTGGGCTCTCCAAGACCTGCTCAGCTTCCTCTTCTTTCCCTGCCAGTCCAGTCCCTTTATCTAATTCTTGGACTCTTTAAATGTTCTGGATGCTTTTTACTTGTCAGTTAACCAAGCTTCTTGGTGCTGAAGCTTCTAAGAATTGTGGGGCCATAAAACTGTACTGCTAGGAAGACTCTTTCCTGTTCAGTTCACTTGGTCCACCGTTCTCATTTTACAATTAAGAGACTTGCCCAGGGTTGCATGGCTGAAGAGTCATAGTCAGGGATGGAATGCATAGATCCTCACCCTAGCCCAGTACTCATTCTGGTTGGTCATACTTATCTCATTTAATGCTAAGTTATGTTGTTACTGAATTTTTTTTGTTTTTTATTTATTATTTTTGTTGTTGTTATTACTGAATTTTAAGCTTTTTATATATATATTTATTTTTCAGTTTTCGGTGGACACAACATCTTTATTTTATTTTTATGTGGTGCTGAGGATCGAACCCAGCGCCCCACGCATGCCAGGCGAGCGCATTACTGCTTGAGCCACCTCCCCAGCCCCAATTTTAAGCTATTTTTTAAAATTTAGCATGAATTTATGTGCATCATCAGGTATTCTTATTTTCTTCTAGTGAGCCAAGTAGATCTCCAGTTCAGCAAGCATTTACTGGGCCTCAGTATATAGTGTGACAGCAATACTAGGGTGAATAAACATGTGTTTGCTTTGGGGAAGCTTAGTTCAATAACTGTAACGTAGTGCTATGATAGAAATATATATCAGGTGCTATGACCTGAAGGATGAGGTAGGTTCGAGGCAGGAAAAGGTGAAATAAAATTGAACTTAAACTACTGAGCTATTATTGAATAGTAGTAATAGATGGTTAAATGCTACATTTTATTTATTTATTTTTTAATATATATTTTTTAACCTGTAGTTGGACACAATACCTTTATTTTATTTATTTATATTTATGTGGTGCTGAGGATCGAACCCAGCACCTTGCTCGTGCTAGGCGAGCACTCTACTGCTGAGCCACAACCTCAGCCCCTACATTTTATTTTTAATTAAATAAAGTAAAAAACTACCCAGGACCTGTTTTTAGTTGAGCTAGCTAAAGAGATGGGGGCAGGGAAGATTTATCTTATGATAATTTACTTTGCTAAGACCATGGTAGGTAATATAATATGTTTTACTTCTTTTTGTCTCCCTAAAATCAGATGTGTCAGAAGAACTGGATACAAATTTGTCTCTCAATAGTGCATCAGAAAAAATAGAAGTTATCCCCAAAGAATGTGAAAACATTTCCTCTTTGGTGGCATTTGAAAATCTCCCAGCAAATGTGACTGACATGATGTTAATCTTATTAGTGGAGAACATAAGTGACTTGACCAGTGATGATTTTCAGGTGGAAATAATACGGGATTTGGACATCGCTGTGGTTACCTTTAAAAGACACATAGGTGAGCTCAAGTGATATCAGCCTTTTTTGTACCACATTTGGGGATTTGGGACACCCAGTTAATGGAATCTCTCTGAAATTTTGACTCTTTCTAGTAGCTGGTAAAAGAAGACTCCAAATTAATACTGGTGCTTTTTTTTTTTTTAAGACAAGCAAATTGGTTTTGAAACTAAATATTCTTGTATGTTTGTCTGGGTTCCTGAATGCATGTGTGTGTGGGGGGTGGAGGAGGGAGGGAGGGAGGGAGGGAGGGAGGGAGAGGGAGAGAGAGAGAGAGAGAGAGAGAGAGAGAGAGAGAGAGAGAGAGAGAGAGAGAGAGAGAGAGAGAGAGAGAGAGAGAGAGATAGAAGTCTAGAAGTCTAGTCTAAGGATACTAAGCATTTTTACGTGTGTTATCTCATTAAAAAAAGTTTGTTGGGCTGGGGATGTGGCTCAAGCGGTAGCACGCTTGCCTGGCATGCGTGCGGCCCGGGTTCGATCCTCAGCACCACATACCAACAAAGATGTTGTGTCCGCCGAGAACTAAAAAATAAATATTAAAAATTCTCTCTCTCTCTCCCCTCTCTCACTCTCTCTTTAAAAAAAAAAAAAGTTTGTTTTTATCTCTTACCAAACTGAATTTGCTAGAAGGAAATAAACACTCACATAGTACTTACTGTAAGTTAGGTAATATGCTAGACACTTTACATGTATTAATTGATTTTTTTCCTTTCAACAACTTTGTGAGATTACTCTTATTATCCCCCTGTAGACAAAGGCACAAAGGTGCTATAAATGGAAGAACTGGATTTGAACCCAGGCAGCCTACCTCTTCAGTCTCTTCCATTATCAGTTTTACCATATGTGTTAGTCAAATTTTTGTTACAAGGACCAAAATACTCAACAAGAACAACTTAGAGGAGAAGAAGTTTATTTTGCATCATGGTTTCAGAGGTTTAGTCCATAATGGGCCTACTCCATTGCTCTGGGCCCAAGGTGTGGAAGGACATCATGGGGGAAGGGTGTAGAGAACAACACTGCCCTGTTATGGTAGCCAGGAGGTAAAGAGAGAGATGGGTGGGGTGGAGAGAGAGGGGAGAAGGGCCACAGGGAAGACGAACCCTTCCAGGGCACACCCCCAGTGACCCACCTCTTCTAGCTACACCCCACCTGCCTACAGGTACCATCCAGTTAGTCTGTTCAAACTAGGATGCACTGATTAAGTTCTAGCTCTCACAATCCAATCATTTCACCTCTGAACATTTCTGCATTAACCCAGGAGCTTTTGAAGACGTTTCATATCCAAACCATGAGCCATGTTTTCCCTTAGTCCTTTCATGGTCACATATACAGGAATAAATAGGTACATGTGATATGGAAAACGATAGCTCCTTAAAGTCGTGGTCGAGAGGAAGAAATATCTCTACCTAAAACAAGGAAATTTTCCTGTCCTAAGCCCTTATTAACCCATGAAAATAATGATGGAATGATTAATTAAGAGCACAGGTCATGGGCTGGAGTTATGGCTCAGTGGCAGAGTGCTTGTCTAGCATATATGAAGCACTGGGTTCAGTCCTTAGCACAGTATAAAAATAAATAAAATATTTTCTTAAAAAAAGAGCATAGGTCATGGAGTCAAAATTCTAGCTCTGCCATTTAGCTAGTTATACAAGGCTAACCAAATCCTATCTTCCTTGTGCTTCAATTTACTTGTTTATAAAGTGGGATAATAACACCTATCTAAATTTTCTTTAAAGACTAAATGAGAAAATGTTTGAAAGGCATTTAACGTAGTACCTGAGATCTGGTAAAGGTTCAATAAAAAGGCTATTCTTTCTTTTCTTTTTTCTTTGCAGTACTGGGGATTAAACCTGGAACCTTGTGCATGTTAGGCAAGTGCTCTACCACTGAGCTACATCCCCATCTCATTTATTTTTATTCTGAGACAGAGTCTTGCAAAGTTGTTCAGGCAGGTCTGGAATTTGAGAACATCCTATTGCAGCCTCCTGAGTATTGGGATTATCTGAGTGTGTGACCATATCCAGCTAGAGGAGTTATTTATTTCAAGTTTATTATTATTTTTTTTACAAGGGAAATCAAATTGGATTTGTTTTTGTTCGTTGATCAAAGAATTTGAATACCTTCCATGTTACCTTTCAGAGTGCAGCTCTGATTGAATTTTGTGACAGAGAAGGTAATATCTATTAACTACCACATCTTTTGCTGTATCAAATACCTGAGATCATCAGCTTATAAATAGAAAAGCTTGAGAGGCTGAGACAGGAGGATCATGAGTTCAAAGCCAGCCTCAGCAATATCAAGGCACTAAGCAACTCAGGGAGACCCCGTTTCTAAATTAAATACAAAATAGGGATGAGGAAGTGGCTTAGGGGTTGAGTGCCCCTGAGTTCAATCCCTGGTACAAAAAAAAAAAAGAGAGAGAGAGAGAGAGAGAGAGAGAGTGAGAGAGAGAAAAGGTTTATTTTGGCTCAGATATTTGGAGGTTTCAACCTGTGGTTGGTTGGCTCTGTTGCTTTTGGGCCTAGAGTGAGGCAGCACATAGTGTGATAGCACATGGCAAACTTTTCACCTCCTGGCCAATAGAGAAAGAAGAAGGGACAGGGTCCCACTATCTTCCTCCTTCCCCTCAGTGACCAGAAGACTTCCACTAAGTCCCATCTCTCTTTTTAAAAATATTTTTTAAAATGTTGATGGACTTTCTTTTATTCATTTATTTATATGCAGTGCTGAGAATCGAACCCAGGGCCTCACACATGCTAGGCAAGTGCTGTACCACTGAGCCACAGCTCCAGCCCAAAGTCCCACCTCTTAAAGTTTCTACTACTTCTCAATAGCACCAAGCTATTGGGGGACATTCCAGGTCCAAACTGTAGCACCTACTATGTACTGGATACTGGTCTAGGTGCTGTGGGCACAAAGAGAAACTCACAGTATGGGAGCAAGGAGGAAGCCGGTATGTAAATCAATCATGAAGATGCAAGAGGAAAAGCCATCTCTCAGCTGTGGGCAACGAGCTGTGAGAAATGGGAGATAAAGGGAATCCAGCAAGATGGCTTGGTCTTCCTCCCTCCCGTAAAGCCTGTACTCCAACAGTACCTCTCATGTCCAAAATACACTAAGCTATTCTGTGCCCCCACTGCTGTTCCCTCTGCCTGACATGTCTATCGGGTCGACCTCCCTCTTCATCCTTCAAAACCAGAACAGAGACCACTTACTCTGGAAATCAAGTTTTATTCCCAGAATTAGTCTTCCCTCATTTCATCCCACTGCAGGCAATTTATTTGCTTTGAAGACCACCTAACTCCTGGATGATGAACTGGCAAGGACTTGTCATCTCTGTAGCCTTAGATCCTAGAATGGTGCTAGGCATATCTTGGACCCACTATGAATACTTACCAATTTGAAAGAGATAATTAGGCTGAGTCTTGAAGGATGAATAGAATCAAGATTTAAAGGGGGAAAAATTGGAGAAAAGGGCTGGGGGTATAACTCAGTGGTAGAGTACTTGCCTAGCATGCATAGGACCCTAGGTTCAATCTCCGGCATTATAAAATGCAAAACCAAAAACACAGGATATTATATATACAAAGGCAAAAGAGAAGGAAAATGTTAAAAAGAATGACTATTTTTGGGAGAAGAATGTAAAATAAAATGAATGGCAGAGAATAACCAAAGGTGATGCTTGGAAATTAGTTGGGAGTTAAATAGCTAAGGGCATTGTTAGCTGAGCTAAAGAGAGTGAACTCATACCTGCAGGTAATGGGGAGCCATTGAAGGGCTTGAGAAAGGAGTGAATCAAGGAGATGGTATTATAGAGAAAGCCTCAATCAGGTTGGCTAGGGCAGTGACTGGAGGCAGGGACACATTTTAATAGCAGTAAACTAGGTAAGACATTCATGAATGCATCATTGTTCAGAGATGGGCAGTTGCAGGCATGTAAATTTTCAGTAGCTATTAAAACCTGTCTACAAATAGAGAACTTAGCTCTCCCCCTTATCTCAACTAATAGCCAACTTCTTCTATATGATAGATACAACATAATAATCTTCTGACATTTTTTTTGTCCTATTGTAGATGCCATGACATTTGTTGGTGATTGTACCAGGCACCATACAATTCAACAACTTCAGCTCTCTCCAAGACTTCTGGAAGCAACAAAAACAATCAGGGTTGAAAACTTACCGCCTGGTGTTGATGACTACCAGTTACAACTTTTCTTTGAAAATCCTCGTAATGGAGGGGGAAGCATTGCCCATGTTGAATGTTTTCCTGAAGAGAGTGCAGCTCTGATTGAATTTTGTGACAGAGAAGGTAATATTTATTAACTACCACATCTGGTATTTCCCAGGCCATTTTAGCAGATCTTAGCAGTTACTTAAACTCTGAAGCATTTTACTTATTCATTCATTTATATTTTTTTTTTGGAAATTGAATCAATCATCAGTTCACCTGAGATATGAAGCTAAAGGAAGCCAGTAACTCAGAGAGGAACTCTGTCAAATTTTTAAAGATAAAAGGAAATTCTCTCATGAGTCTTTAGTCCATATAGACTAAAAGACAAACAAAAGACTATCATTCTTAGAACTTTTAAAATACTGTATTTAAAAAAAGAGATCTGTGTTTTAGCCATCCACATAAATTCTCAAATTAATTTCAACAAGTTTAAGTAAAGATAACTTCACTTAGAGGGGCTGGGATGTAGCTTAGTGGTAGCGTACTAGCCTAGCATTTACGAGGCTCGGGGTTCAATCCCCAGCACTGCAAAAAGAAAGAAAGAAAAGTTTTGTTTTGTCTTCATTTGAAATATATCACATTTGGATTACCTTATTTTTATTTGTTTACTTATTTATTTATTTTTACTTTTAAAGTGTTAGACACCATCATGGCCAAGAAACATAACTTCAATAAGATGCCGCTGTTTGTCTTTCCCTACTATACCTCTTTGGGCACAGCATTGTATGGAAAGGAGAAGCCTCTGATTAAACTTCCAGCACCATTCCAAGAGTCACTGGATCTTCCCTTATGGAAGTTCTTTCAGAAAAATAATCACTTAATTGAAGATATAAATAATGAAATGAGACGTTGTCACTGTGAGCTAACGTGGTCCCACGTCAACAGTAAAGTTACTATCAGACCTGCAGCCACTTTAGTCAATCAAAGAAGACCCAGAATCAAGGCCTGGCAGGAAGACGCTTCCACAGCACTCTCCGGCATCAGGTCTAAATATGAAGTTACCTCATTTAAAGTGGATCCAGTAGTGTGGGACATCATAAAAAATGACTTAGAAGAAGATAAGATTTTTATTGAATTTGATTCACTTAAGGAGACTGCAACCTTGGCAGGAAAATCAGAAGATGTCCAAAGCATTGACCTGAAAATCAAGGAATTAATAGAAAGCACCACTGAGAAAATTAGAAAGGAAGAGCAAAGTCTAAAGGAAAAAATGACCATTTCTCCAGAAAGGAATTTTCTTTTGGAACACAGTGGTGTCCTGCAGCGTCTACGCACGGAGTGTGGAGAGATGGAGATCTGTTATGATGCAGCCACTCAGAAACTATTCTTGAAGGGGCCTTGTGCAGATGTGTATAAAGTCAAGTGTGAAATCCAGGAAAAGGTGTTCAGCATGACCCAGAAAAACATTCAGGTCTCTCCTGAGGTCTTTCAGTTTTTGCAGCAGGTAGATTGTGAAGAATTTTCTAAATCTCTTTTTATAGTACAGAATATTCTTGCAGTTTTCAAGTTAGAGGGTACAACTGTCCTCTTAACCAGTTTCACTTCCGCAGTCCTGGTGGAAGCTGAAAAACAAATGCTCCAGACCTTAAATTATAAGCACATTCAGGTTGAGGACAAAGAAGTTCTTAATGGCAAGAACTGGAAAGGGATAGTTCAAAGTTTACAAAAGAAACATAGCTCCTCTGCAAGTATTGTGGTAGTCAATGAGTTAACTTCAGGAACTCCAGCTGAGGTCATCATTGCAGGCTGTGTGAGAGAAGTAAATGAAATCCGTAGCATGCTTTTTGATTTCCTGGAAAAACATGTGAAAATAGAGAGATTAGTTCAAGTAGAGCCATCCTTGGTTAGAGCCTATTTAAAGGCAGAAAAGCAATTATTTTGGTCAAAGGTAAGGAAGGTAAATGTGCAGGTAGTTTTCAAACATGAGAACAAACAAAAAGGCATTTTATTAATTGGCTCCAAGAAGGATGTACTGGAGGGCATGGACATTGTCAAGCAAGTCCGGGATTTGGTCTGCATTAAAAACGTCTGTATTGATAAGCCAGGGGCCAGGCAGTTCTTCCAGGAGAAAGCGCGGTATTACAAAGGAGAGGTCAGACGGATGTTTGGTTGTTTCATTGAACTCCAAGAAGAAGAAGAACAGAAGGTGGTACGCATCCCTGATGGGAAGAAGTGCTTGTCTCAGAGGGATGTGGTCCCTGGAGTTAGACTGATTGTGCTACAGGGTGACTTGGCTCAGTTTCCTGTTGATGTGGTGGTGAATGCAGCAAACGAGGACCTCAAGCATTCCGGAGGCCTTGCTGCTGCTCTCTTAAAAGCTGCAGGCCCTGAGCTGCAAACTGCTTGTAACCACATAGTGAAGACAGAAGGCAGACTCCTACCTGGCAATGTTGCAATCTCAACAGCAGGAAAGCTCCCTTGCCGCCAGGTAATCCATGCAGTGGGGCCCCACTGGAAGCAGGATGACGCTCCGTGGTGTGTGCATCTGCTAAGGAAAGCTGTAGAAAACAGTCTCCTTTTAGCTGAGGAATACAAGTACCAATCCATAGCCTTCCCAGCTATTAGTTCTGGAATCTTTGGCTTTCCCTTACAACGGTGTGTGGAGACCATTGTTCGAGCCATCAAAGAAAACTTCCAATATAAGCCAGATGGGCACACCTTGAAAGAGATTTACCTTATGGACGTATCTGAGAAGACTACTGAGGCCTTTGTCGAAGCCATGAAAACTGTATTTAAAGACCCCCCACTTGGTACAGTTTCCCTGCCAGATAAAGCTTCCTTGCTCAGTGCACCAGCAGCAGTCCAGCCTGTTAAAATATCAGAGAACCAGCTATGTCTGATATCCCCGGAGGGCCTAAAGATCCGGTTGAAGAGAGAAGGTGTGCAGAAAGCTAAGGTGAGTGTCCCTATTTACGGCATACCACCAAGGTGCTCTCATTGTATAGCTCTCTCATTGAGGACCAAAGAAAGTCTAGGATTGAGGGGGAGAATCAAGACAGAGAATCTTACACCCTCCATCTCTGTCTTGAATCAGGTTTCCTTTAGATAATTAGGCTACTTACCAAATCACTTAGTGAAAGAGATTGGCCAGTTATTTTTGAGAGCTTAAAGTGTATTGAGATCAGATCACTAGGTTTCCAGTAAATGTGAAAATCCAAAGTAAGGTTACCAATCATCTGGGTGTTCTTTGGCTCACTTCAGTTAGAATTCGCGAATAGGCAAAGTGCAGCTCCCTTGGTGTTAGCAGCACTGAACTTTGTAATCCACAAATTCTTAGCTCTCAGTGTTAACAGCTCTCCTAGCAGCCAGAGCAGCTTTCTGGAGCTGGCTTGGCTCCTAGACTCTTAATGCCTTCAGTATTACCAGCTCTGGCTCCTGGCCACTTTCCTGGCAGCCTTTTATGTTCAACCCGATCTTGGTATAACCAACTCAGCCTGTTCTACTTGGGATATGAATCACAGATAGGCAAGATAAAGCCATCCAAAAGAAGCCTTATTAGGACTTATGTTGCAGCCCAAGGGGAAGCGGTACAGAAACTGATCTGACAAGGTTGAGGGGAGGACTGCTTATGCAGGCAGAGACAGTGGGCTCCCATATGCACCCAGGGTCCTGCTGGCTAATCACACACTTTCTGTTTAGTCGTGGGGAGGAGAGGAGCTCCTCATGGACCAGAATAGAGACACCTGAAGTAGCTGCAGAGGGGAGGAGTCATCTGGGATGGACACAGGCATTGGAAGCTCTGGCAGTCAAAGGCAAAGTATCCCAGAGTGGTCATGGCGTGTCTTTGATGGCAATCTGGCCTGACTGCACAGAAAAGGTGACCACTTGAATGTGCTCCACAGTGGTGGCTGTCAGCAAAATAATAATCTAAAATGTAAAAAACAGAAACACAGAAAAAACAGGAGAGCACCCTTTGAGGGAGAGTCAGGTCTTTCCATTTTGTATCCGTGGTATCATACATTTAGATGACTTTTGATTCGTTTACTTTGCTTTTACACTTTTCATAGTTTGGTAAAGCTAAGATTAGTTTCTTGTCAAGTGTACTGATAGCAGATCCACAACAGTTAGAGCATGGGGGATGCAGAGGTCAGAAATCTTGCTAATGGAGCCTAGCAAAGGTGAACTTGGGGCCAGAGTCTGACATCAGCAGACATGGACACCCAATACCAGTTTGCTGGTCCTGTGTAAGAAAGGAGGGGGTAAGTGGGCCTGAACAAGGTCCAGGTATCATGCAGGAACAATTCTTGAAGGTTGAGGGTTTGTGGGGGTGGAGGGGATAGGGGGCTAATATATATATTTTAAAGCTATTTARTATTCTTTGCAACACAGGCACTAACTAATCAGAACAGCAGCCATTTTTCTGAAGCAGGATCTAGATGCCTCCTACTGTGCCAGGCTGTATTTCTTTAATTGGAAGGTGATGGGAGGGTGAGGGGAGTCCTGGGGAAGGAATTCTTGACAAGGAATGGAGGAGGTGGTGGAAGCACTGGGGGCAGGGCAGTACCTTTTTTACTAAGCAATAGTTCCATTTCTTTGTGTTGTCATGGCCAGCGTGGCCATGGGTGTATCTTCCAGTGAATATTAGCCCCAACCTTTTTCTGCAGATTTCAGAAGGGTCTAGGGAAGCAGCCAAGGCTGACAGAGGGATTCATRTCCACCAGACAGCTCTGAGGTTTTTGGTGTCTCCACTTTTTAAAAAATATTTTTCTTAGTTGTTGATAGATCTTTATTTTTTTTATTTATATATGGTGTTGAGAATCAAACCTAGTGCCTCACACATGCCAGGCAAGTGCACTACTGCTGAGCCCAGTCCCAGCYCTGTGTCTCCACTTTTTAAAAGGCAAATTTATGGGGTTGGAGTTGTGGCTCAKTGRTAGAGGGCTCATCTCACATGTGCGAGGCCCTGGGTTCAATCCTCAGCACCACATAAAAATAAATTTTAAAAAATAAATAAAATGTACATAAAAATATACTTAAAAATTTTTTTAAAGGCAAATTTATATACACACACACACACATATGAAAATACCTAAAAAAAAAAACTAAAAGAATATACATAAAAAAATACCTAGAAAATATCTAAAAAGAATATACCGAAAACAGGCATCACAATACAGTGAAAATTTTAACCAAGCCTGAATGCTTTGTTCAAAGACCAAGACCAAAGTCCTAAATTATCACYACTGGGTGTCACTTGTTCTCATTATCTTTAAATAACACATCGTTAGATATACTTTACATGAGATTAAATGAACTAGATTTAATAAATCCACCAAATGTTTTGCTTTGGATGTTTTTTTACAAGAGAAAAATATCTCTAAGCTTCCGTTAAAACAGGCTCCAATATAATATAATAAAAGGTGAGATACTAGGGCTAGGGCTATAGCTCAGTGGTAGAGCACTTGCCTAACATGTTTAAGGCCCTGGGTTCGGTCCTCAGCACCACAGAAAAATAAATAGGTAGAATAAAGGTATTAAAAAAATGACACACTAAAACTGCTTTATCCTGAATATATTTACTGTTTTAGCATATTCCTATAGCTTATCTTGAGAAAAGTTGAAAATTGTTTAATAGTCATGATCAGTCACCCTCTTTTTTAACAACTTTTTATTCTTAAGTTTTAGATGGACACAATATCCTTATTTTACATTTATGTGGTGCTGAGGATSGAACCCAGTGCCTCGTGCATGCTAGGCGAGTGCTCTACTGAGCCACAACCCCAGCCCCSCTCTTTTTTAAGTTTAAAAACATTTTTTTTAAGTTGTAGATGGACACAATACCTTTGTTTTATTTTTCTATTTTTATGTGGGCTGAAGATCGAGCCCAGTGCCTCACACATGCTAGGCATGCACTTTACTGCTGAGCTGTAACCATCATCCTCTTTTTTGTTTAAACAGCTTTATTGAGATAATTCATGTACCATACCCATTCAAAGTGTACAAGTCAATAGTCTTTATTATATTCACAGAGGTATGCAGTTATAACCAGAATCTAATTTTGGAACATTCTTATCACTCCAAAAAGAAACCTTGTGTCCCTAGGGAGCACTTCCCATTCCATCAATTCATTCAGTCCACTCTCTAGCTGTAGGCAACTACTAATTTACATTCTGTTTCTAGAGATTCAATGACTCTGAAAATTTCATATAAATGGAAACATAATTTATGGTTTTCAGTGACTGACTTCTTTCACTGAGCAGAATGTTTTCAAGGGTTTTTCCCTGTAGTAGCATGCATTAGTACTTCATTCCTTTTGTGACTGAATAATATTCCATTGTATGGATATGTATTTGGTTTATCCATTCATCCCTGGATGAACATTTGGATTCTTTCTACTATTTTATGTGTCATGTTCTTATGGACACTTATTTACAAATTTTTATATGGATAATTTTTTTCTTTTGTGTTCATACCTAGGAGTGGATTGACTGGGTCACATAGTAATTCCATGTTTGACTTTGAGGAACTACTAGATTATTTCCCAAAGTGGTTGTACCATTTTATATTCCTATCAGCAGGGTTGAGAATTCCAGTTTCTCCACATCTTTGCTAACCCATGCTATATCATTTTTATTGTAGCCATCGGTGAATATAAAATAGTATCTTACTGTGGTTTAGATTTACATTTCCTTAATGACTAATGATTTTCAACATTTTTTAATGTGCTTTTTGGTCATTTGTATATCTCTTTGAAGAAATGTTTAGATCTTTTGCCCACTTTTAAATTGGGTTGCTTTTTTATTATTGAATTTTAAGTATTCTTTATATATTTTGGATACAGGTCCCTTATCAGATGTTTGATTTGCAAATATGTCTTCTTTTCTGTGGACCAGGTTTTCTCTGTTAAAATTATTACTTTAAAAAATTTTTGCTTTAGTTTACAATAGTGTACTGTAAGATATTATATTTCTGCTTATTATAAGCTTAAGTAATAATTATAAGAATCACAGGCGTCAATTGCATGTTACTTTGTGCCAGGCATTTTGCTAAGTACTTGACATGCATTTTTCTCATTCAGTGCCATAAAGTAGCTTCTAGAATTAGATCATTCCCTTCACAGACGAGGGATCAAGGTTTAGAGGAGTTAAGTAATCCATTCAGTCTCAYAGTTAGTGGTTGGTAGAAATAGGATTGGAATTTATTCAAGTTCTTGACTGTTGTCTTATTTCAAAAATCAAAAATAATTTTGTTGCCATTAAAAAAAAAAACCCAAAACAAAAAAAGCACAATGTTCTTTTGACCATGGATCAGGAATGGGAATGAGCTATGTTTCTTGCCACCGTCACCCTGAGTATGAAGACATTCTTTCTCTCCCAGAGATGTGTGGCTTCTGCTGTCCCACTAACTGCTGCATTACTTCTCCGTGACCCACAGGGAAGGACACCTTCCTTCTCTCTTTTCTTGGCCTCTCTAAAGTAGTCTGATTAATCAGTCGGCTTGCACCAACGCTCAGGTGGAAAAGCTTCCATGGCGCTGTCCRTCAGAGGGTCCAGGTGCTTGGATGGAGGTGGGCTTTCTTTGTCCAACTCAGTGTAATAGATGTCGTCTGGTATACCCCGTTTTGCTGCAGAAGACCTCCATCAGGTCAGATGAATCTGCTCACAGCTCACARTCCACTGTGAGTGAGTTCATGCTATTCCCTGTTGCTCTCTGCCCAGAGTGACTATTCCCATTTCCTAGGTCCCATGTCACCCAGGGCATGTTCATCATCAYTGAATACCCTTCAGTGAACTATGCATTTATATATTATTTTTTGACAGCTCTCTTTGTCCTCAAGTGTTACTTAAATAACTGTCTTAAAACACTGTGTTGGTATTTCAGTCTTCAAAACCTCAGCCATCTTAGTTGTCCCCCTTGTGCTGAGCCCAGGGTTCGCACATACTTACCATGGATGAA